ATGGGTGAGTTCTAACCACTGTGACCCACAGCCTTTTCTAAAACTCTTTTGTTCTCGTAGGTCCAAGCCTAGGCTGTGAGACCTGCTATGAAGCTTGGGGTGTAGTCTTCACACTGAACCCCAAAGGAGCTCCTTTTTCTAATTTTTACAAAGGAAACCCTATAAGCCTGGGTGTCAAGATCAACTGGAAAACCCACTCAAGTCTAATGTACATGCCAATGGCTACCAGGTCAAAGTTCTTGATGCACCCCACATGTGGAGGCCCACGCAGGCACAAATAGTTAGTCTACTATCCACCTAGCTACCCTTTGTTCCTCTACTGTCTGTTTACCTGCCACATGGGGAAGCATGACCAAGGAAAGGCACCAAGCATTACCTATGGGAGGAAACCACTCAGCAATTCAGACGTGTCAGAAGACAGACTGGGGCCCAGGAACAGTGACTGGGAAAGGGAACATGCAAACTTGAGTCTCAGTCTAAATATGGGTTCAGTTTAGTGGGGGGGGGTCACAGATTAGGAAGGGAAAGTAGTGGGATTAAGAGTCACCGTCATGCCAGAGGAGCAGTCTCTGCACACCAAGGGGCATGGAAGCAAGGGGCAGGTAGCCACAGAGTGCCAGATGGGGCTGACGGAGCACAGGATGTGCCCAGGGATGATGTTACAGAAAGCAGAGCCCTGCAGGAAGGCAAATCACTGCAGGAGGGTAATGCCTGTGTATTTGGCTAAGATATGGCAACTTCTCAAGCTGGGCGGTGGTGGCACACGCCTTTAATCCCAGCACTCGGGAGGCAGAGGCAGGTGGATCTCTGTGAGTTCGAGGCCAACCTGGTCTACAAGAGCTAGTTCCAGGACAGGAACCAAAAGCTACGGAGAAACCCTGTCTCGGAAAAAAAAAAAAAAAAAAAAAAAGATATGGCAACTTTTCTCACTGCTGTGAGGAACAAGCAGAGAATGAAAAGTTGGGTGAAGTGAGGATGCTGGAGCCCCAGGAGCCCGGGAACTGGATCAAAGAAAAGAGACCCCACAAAGGCAAAGGGAAGCACTAGTGCATGACATAGCTGGAGGCCACCACGTTCGGAAGAGTCCTGCCTCACGCCTCACAGTTCTCAGTGAAACCAGAGGCAAAGGGCTCTGTGTGTTGGGAGGACGGAGACCATGTCTCAAGAAACAGCACTGGCCTTCTGGGCAAGGACAGCGTTCTTTGGGGCACTGATACCTCAGCTAGCCTGGGGGCACCAGACTACAGCTTGGAGTGTACAGGTGATACAATCTTCATGCTCCCATGTCCTATGGGGGCGGCATCCATCCTGGGCGGCGATTTGCAGATACCATACGGTGGTTTGAATCAGATATCCCCCCCACACACACACACACAAGTCTTCAACATTTGGATACTTGGTTCATGCCTTTTGCTTCCTCTCCTCTGCCTCCTTGCTGAGTGTTTCCCAGACTTACCCACGACTGTGAGGTTGACTTGGGCCTGCCTGGTGCCCAGCTTGCTCTCCACCACCAATGTGTAGCAGCCACAGTGCTCCTGGCGCGCTGCCAGGATGGTGAGCTTGCTGCCGCTCTCGCTGTTCTCCACCTTGATGTGCTCGCTCTCCTGGATCTGCAGGTAGAGGCAGGAGTGAAAAGGGGGGCTCCTCCACTCTCTCTTCTCAAGGACATGGGGGAGGGAGCAGGGGTTGGTCCCTTTTGTCTATTGTGGTAATACTGTAATGCCACTGCTGGGGAAGTGGAGACAGGAGGATGCCTGGCACTTGCTGACCAGTCAGTCTAGCATAACTAGTGACCTTCCAGGCCAATAAGATGCCTTGTCTCAAGGGAGGTGGTTGGCTTGCCTGAGGATGACAGGGTGACAGCTGAAACCTCTCTCTCTCTCTCTCTCTCTCTCTCTCTCTCTCTCAACAGAAAAGAAATAGAATAAAAGGGTGCCAAATCATGTTACAGCACGAATGAGCCCCGAAAACAAGAACATCCTCTCAAAAAACCCCAAACACGCAGAGACAAAAGATGCTGTGAGAGATTGCATGATTCCATCTATCAGAAACGTCCAGAACAGGCAAATCCATAAGGATAAAAAAAGGAGACTAGTAATGGCAGAGACTAGAGGGAGAGCCCATGATACTGGTTTCTAGGGTGAGGAACTAGGTAACGCTAGGACTTATACACTCTTGTGTATTGACTAACATCATTGAATTGTATACAGTGATTCTTTTTAACTAATTAAAGTTAAAAATTTATCCAGACAGTAGCACGGAATTGTAATCTCAACTGCTCAGGAGTCAGATGGATCACCAGTTTAAGGTCAGCCTGGACAACTTAGTAAGACCTTCCTCAAAAAGTAAAAAGAAGACTGGATGTACAGGTAGGTGGGAGAGTGCTTGCCTAGCATACCTGAGACCCGAACCTAAATTCAGACCTAAGTACTGAAAAAAATTGCAGCTTCTCATGGTGGTCTGAATGGAAGTGGTCCCCACATGCTCATATATTTGAGTGTTTGGTTCCAGGTTCGTGGAGTAAAGTTTAAAATGTACGGCCTTGTTGGAGGAGCTGTGTCACTGGGGGTGGGCTTCGAGGTTTCAAAAGCCCATGCCAGGCCCAGTCTCGCTCTCACTTCTGTCTGCATCTACAGATAAGGATGCAAGCTTTCAGCTCCAGCTGCAGTGCCACGCGTGCCTGCCTGCAGCCGTGCTCCCCAACTAGGATGCTTCTAGACCAGCCCTCTGAGACTGCAAGTCCTCCTTCTGTAAGTTGCCTTGGTCATGGAGCTTCTTCACAGCAATGGAACAGGGACTAAGGCATTCCTCAATTGTGTTAGCCACATTTCATGCACTCAGCATACAGGGCCATTGGCAATTGCACTGGATAGCACAGATGCCAAAAGGTTTCACAGTTGCAGAAAGTTTTGTTCTGAATTTGATTAATCGGCTCTGAAAAGGGATGAGAGTCTACTTTGTCCATCAGTCTAGGAGGGGCAGGGCTACATTCTTCTCCACCTCCCTTGAAACCAGCTCTGCTTTCCTCCCAGACACCGGTGGCTCATCTCTTGGCTATGACAGTTTTTATGGTATGGAAACAGCGAAGAGGCTTATAAAGAATCCTCATACCTCCTGTAGGTTCCTAATGCAGACCAACATTACTCTGGGGTGTCTGCCAACCACACACATGAGTGCCATTACCAGCACAAACAGTGAAGAGCTGGGCCCTTACGTTTCTCTACATGCTGGGTATTTGGAAATTCAAATGTGTTCATAGGGAGCATTATTATTCGTAGCTATACTTCTAGGTCATTCAACCAATTGTTTAAATTAATTAATTAATTATTTTTGGTTTTCCAAGGCAGGGTTTTTCTGTGTAGTCCCAGAACTTGCTTTGTAGAACAGGCTGGCCTTGAACTCAGAGATCCACCTGCCTCCGTCTCCTGAGGATTAAAAGCACCACCACCACCAGGCTCAAAATTCTATTTAACATACAATTTAGATCCCCAAATACCACGACCCACTTTGATCTTTTGGCAGGTGGTAAGTGGAAGCTGGTTAAGATGGGAATCAGGAGACTGGCATAGAATCACAGAAGCGATGGTGTCTGAGAGGACTTCTTCCTGCCTCCAGAAAGAAGTCTAGGCAGATGGACTCAGATGAGGGCAGGAGTAATTTCATTAAACAAACTGCTTATAGAAAACAGGGAAGCCGGGCGGTGGTAGCACACGCCTTTAATCCCAGCACTTGGGAGTCAGAGGTAGGTGGATCTCTGTGAGTTCGAGACCAGCCTGGTCTATAAGAGAGCTAGTTCCAGGACAGGCTCCAAAACCACAGAGAAACCCTGTCTCGAAAAACAAAAAACAAACAAACAAACAAACAAAAAAAACCGGGTTCACTGACAGACATAGAAGAAAAGATTAGTAAGAACTCGGGTTTGGTAGATAGGTTCTCTCCCATTTCTTTCTTTTTAAATAACGTTTTTCTTTTTTCAGTAACTAGGTTTTGTGATGCTAGGCAAGCGTTCTACCATTAAGCTGTATCCTGGGCCTCTGTGAGTTATTTGGACAGGATTCTGGCTCGGCTGTCCTTGATCATACAGTTCTCTTGCCTCAGCCTTCCAAGGGCTGGGATTCCAGGTATGCACCATCATGCCCCATGCTCTCTTCCATTTCCAAAGTGAAGAAGAGCAACGCATTCCCTCCAGCATGGCATTTCTCGATTTTCTGGTCCAGGGGCTTTAAGCCATCCTGAGGACACCCTGCTTCCATGACTGACCTGCTTTCGGAACTTCATCCACGTGCAGGTGATGGGCTGGGTACCAGTCACTTTCCCAAACAGCTCCACGGGCTCTCCTGCGCGAACCTTCTGGTCCTCAGGGAACTGGATGATTTGAGGGGGCATAGCTAGTAGATAACAAGTACAAAGTGAGGAAGGGGCCTTAGACATGCTGATCTCACTGGTACCGCTGGCCATGTTGGTCTACTAGTGCCTCTCTTCTCTTCTGGAATGTTCGAGATAAGCATGGAGGTACCGACCCCTGTTCCCAAAGATCTGAGTGCTGGGACCTTGCTAGCTTTGTTCTCTTTAGAATCCCCAGAAGCCAGAAGTGACCCACACAATTTACGCAACAAAGTTCTTCACGGATTGGTTGTGGTGACATTTGTGCCTGCCCCCCCCCCCCCCCCCCCCCCCCCCCCCCCCCCCCCCCCCCCCCCGGCGCCATGGTCTGAATCTCTGTCCCAGCTCATCTCTTAATTTAGTAGTAACTTGTGTCTAACTTTTCAGTCACTCTGGCTGGTAGGCTCAGTGTGCTTTGTGCCTTCAAACGTCTTCCCAGGGCCAACAAACGAGGATTACATGGAGCAGGGCCTAAAAACAGTATGATGTGGGCCACCTCCATGCAGGGTAGACTGGAGGACTAAGGTCCAACTTAGCAGAAGGGACAGGAAAGCCACCCGCAGCCTGTGATAAGGCAGACACAGATGGAGGCAGGGGAAGGAAGTAGGAGAGGATATGGGGGAGGTACCAGCTAGGCATAGGTTCCCTAGAGAAGGAGGAGGCAGCTCAACACGTGAAGTTTGAACAAGGGAAGGGTCTCCTGACCACCACCCACATGGTCAGTTAGAAGGCGGAAGAGAAGGTCCTATGGCAAAAGACTCCCTTGTCCTCAGGTAGGACTGTGGCTATTACCTGCTTTTGTAGGTGTCTTGGGGGCGGGTTTCTTTTTGACAGTTGCGTCACCTGAAACAAAGACATGTACAAGTTAGGAAGTTAAGAGGTCAGTTCTGTTTTCCCAAGAAAGCTCCTAGGTCACAGGAGGATGCTTTCTTGCCTGCTGGCCCCTCATTTATAGAAAGCCCTCATTCTACTTTGTCTTCTCAGGGAACTCCTTGCCCTGATACAGACAGTGTTATGATACAATGACTATTAGTTTTCAAGTGTCTTGGGGGGAGGGGTGGGTGTGGGGTGGGGCTAGAACCAGTGGGACAGAAGCTCTCAAAACTCTAATGCCCCTCAGAGTCCTAGTTAAAGATGATAACATATAACTCACTAACTACTTGTTCACCCCAACTTTCAGGAAATGCAGAAAGGAAATTATGTCAGATAAACCAACTAAAATTAGCCTTGGTATGGATCCAAGGGTCTCCGGCTTCCTTTGAGTCACAGACTGTGACTGATAGATGTTTCTTAAAAAACAAAACACAGCACAGCACAACATAACAAAACAACAAAAATCCCCAAACCAAATGTTAGTTGGATGGATCAATGAATGAATGGACACTGTGATCTCCGCCCTTGGGAGGCTGAGTTAAGAGCATTATCATGAGTTCAAAGCCAGCCTGTGCAGCATGGTGAGCTCCCAGCCAGCCTGGGATGCTCGACACCCTTGCAAGCCCCAACCCTCACAAATCAGTGAATAAATATATCTTACTATCTTCCCTTCCTACTCTACTTTCTCCAACTCAACAAGAAAAATAACTCATACAGAAATGCCGCACAGCAAATCTACTTCTCTGACTAAATAAAATTATGATACACAGGCAGAAACACCTGCATCATTTCTCATGGCTTGATTCATCTCTCTTCCAGGTCATTTTTAAAAGTAAAGATATAATTACATCATTCCCCCCCTTTCTCTTCCCCCAACCCTTCCCTTTCTCTCATGAATTCATGAGCCCCTTTTCTTCAATTGTTGACAAATGATTTTTTTCCTCAGCTAAGATAAGCCAGATTCAAAGGCTCCTTACTGTATAATCCTACTTATTGGGAAGGTAAAACTCTAAGAATGGAGAACAGGTCAGTGGCTGCCAGAGGTGTTAGGGGAAGGGTTGATAAACAGCACCGGGAGAGCTAGCTTGACAAGGGTGGTCACTCAATGACTGCTCAGATCATTCAGGGTGCACACAACTCTGTGCTACAGAAGCTATGCAGGGAATACCCTTCACACAAGGAGATCTGACACCAGGGTCCTCCAGGAATCCCGGCCCTTGGGCTAGAGACTTAGCTCAGTGATTGAATGCTTGCCTGACAAGCACAAGGCCCTGGTTTTCATTCCAGTACCACAGAAACCACACACACACACACACACACACACACACACACACACACGTGGGGGAAGGGGAGTCTGCAGCACTACTTACAGTCTAATTTATTATCCTCCCCAGTACTTAGCATACGACAAAGTATATCTTCACTTGTTTTATTGTCTGTCTTTCCTTTCCCACATGAAGTACAAGATTTTGAGGCAGAGCGTTTCTGTTGTTCACTGTTACATATCCAATGTACCTGACACACAGTAGGTACTTAACAACTTCTTATTAAATGAATGGATGGTGACCATTGAGTTACTTGGCTACTACAAAACAGAGGGACAGCACTGGGACCAGGCATGGCTGTGGGACTGCTCTATGATCACAGGTGGTCTGGTTAACCTTGAGTATTTCCACAGAGGAGACAGTGCTGCCACACAACTGGTGACCCTGAAAGGACAACAGGAAGTAGGGGTCCTGACAGAAAAACCTTAAGATCACAGGCTGGCAACTGTGGCCCAGCGGCTAAGTCTAGGGAAAGGTCTGTTTCCCCTTTGGCTGGCTGCCACGGATGATCCCTATCTTACTGTAGTCCTACTGTGTGCCACTCAGCCAGACCCCTATCTTACTGCAGGCCTACTGTGTGCCGCTCAGTATACACTTTGAGCCTAGGTGCTGGGGAGAAAACCAAACAGATGTAAGAACTTAGTACGTAGCTTTAAGGTCCTAAACATGAGGTAATGTGATCTACAAGAAAGGCTTTTATGCCTTTTCTTCCAAAAGGAAGACTTCTAGGACAGCTGAGAGGGTTTGAATATTGTCAGTAAATTAGACGATAGCGTTCTATTGATGTTTTTCTATTTTAATCATTACTAATGTAGTTTATAGAGCACATTTGATTTTAGGGGAAAACCAACACTAAACTATTTAAAATTTAAGATTTTATGGGTATAATTTTCTTTCAAGCTGCTCAAAAACAAAATTATGTAAGTCTATATCTGCATGTGCATATAGAGGTAGAGAGATACAGAGAAAGAGGGAAAGGCTGGGGGATACAGCCCAGTGGGGAGAGCACTTGCCTAGTGTAGTCAAGGCCCTTGGGTCAACCAGAAGCCACCTCCTACACCCACAGAAGGAAGAATATAGAAAGAGCAAACAGTAAAATGTCAATATATGAGGAATCTGGAGGATATAAAAGAATTGTTCATATTAAATCTTGCATTTTTCTATAAGGCTGGAATTATTTCAGACTAAGAGTTAAATAGAAAGCGTAAAAAACACAATATAAGGGCTGGAGAGATGGGTTAGTCATTAAGAGCACTTGATACTCTTACAGAGTCCCTACAGCTCAGTATCTAGCACCCACATAGTGGTTCACAACAATCTGTAACTCCAGTTTCAGGGAATCTGATGCCTTCTTCCGGCTTCAAATGTACAAGGCATACATGTGATACATATACATACATGTAGACAAACACTCATACACATAAAATAAAAATAAGTTTTAAATTTTTTCTAAAAATAAACAAAGAGTTGTTCAAATGCAGCAAAAGAGAAAATGTTGTATTGAGAACATGGCCACAAGCTCATCACTGGGGAAGGGTGGACCCACGGCCTAAGAAGATGAACCTAGAGAATCGGAGGAGCCCATGGTAGCAACAGATGATGAAGTCTCAAGCAGGGTGGTTTGGGTGAAGGTTGGCTAGAGGAGATGGCTGTTATCACAGGAAGTTTAAATGAAGCTAGGATGTCAATTTAAATTAAGAAAAATTAAGTATTTAGTTCCCCCATTGAGCTAGTTTTATTTTCAGTACTTATTAACCCAAAGATGATCAGTGGCTGTCGCACAGTGCAGGCACAGTCCATGTCCATTGCTATGGAGAGTTCTGACGGACAGCATTAGTCTTGTATGCCCGAGATCTGGGTCTTTAGCCTCAGGGATCAGAGAACCTTCTCACACACAGCTGTCATGCTGGGTCTGCGCGCCCTCAAAGGACAAGGATATCCAGTTAGGACACTGCCACCTCTTGAAAGGCACTGGGAAGGACCACACAGAAAAGATGACTGGGAGACAGAGAAAGCACTAAAAGGATTAATTTAGGGGAACTATACAAAGTGGAGGTGCAAAGGTACTTCGAGATTTCTTTCTGAGAAACACGGTGACAATTGTATCAGAGGAAAATGGGATGGGAGAGTGATCGATGAGTAATTTGGCTTGGTCACGGGGACTTGATGGATGAAAATATTGATCTGTATGTAAGCTTCTAAAAGCCAGGGTGGGAGTCCCAGAGAAACACTGGCTGAGTCTGGAAGGTGAGAGTTTCAGAGTTAAGCTGTGAGCAGAGGGGAGAGAAAGGTGAGAAGGCCAGGGTTTATGCCAGGTGATTCAGTAGAAGTTATCGACAGCTGGGTGACGCCAGGTGATTCACTAGAAGTTATCGACAGCTGGGTGACATAGGGGACCATGGGAGGACTAGAAAGAATGCCTCTGTGAGCAACGATGGAGGAGAGATGTTAGGAAGGAGATCCAGATGTAACCAGAGCAAAGTCATGGATGATGCTGGAGGCTAGAGGGTCACACGTCACTCCAGAGGACATCTCCAAGGAAAACAAAGGGTAGATGCCCACAGAAATTCTAGTCAGGAGCAATTCTAGTGCTGAATGGACAAAGAAAAACAGCCAAGAAATGTTCCTGCTGTGGTGGAGGCTGACTTCTAGGACTCAGGAGAAGGCAGGAAAGCCTGAAGATGCTACAGACAACCACACAGGGAAGGCAATTGTGGGAGGTGGTGACTAGCTGAGGCACTCCAGGACTGGAGGAGAGAGGCCAAGGGAAGGAGCAGAGCTGATCTCCTCAGGAAAGAACAAGCTGCTTGTCCGAAGGAGCTGAGGACTGTTGTTAGGGCTGCATGGTGTCCTCTTCCATCCATGTGCTGAAAATATTACCCCCAGGACTTCAAAATGAGGCTGCCTCACACACAGGGCATTTGAAGAGGTGACTACATTAATATAGGTCAGTAGGGTGGGCCTTAATCCAATCTGACTGGTGACCTCACAAAAAAGGGAGGAGGAAGAAAGGAGGAAAAGGAAAGGGGGAGGGAGAGGAAGAGCGAGTAGGTCGATAGGGGCCAGGGAAGGAAGAAGGGAGAGAGAGAGAGACCCAACTAAGCAGACCTGCACACACAAAAGGAACTAGATGAGGAGGGAGAAGACAGCCATCTGCAAACCAAAGGAGAGAGACCTTGATCTTGGCTTTCTGGCCTGTGTTTCAGCCACTCCATCCACCATCTTGTTATGGAAGTCCTAGCTGATCACTGTAGCTAGCTGTCAGTGACCTCCCACTGAGAGGATGGTGTTGGATGAGAAGGAGGGGTGTGAACTGGGGGTACACAAAGAGGTGGACAGCATGAAACCTGAGACTACAGAGTCCTCCCTTATCTTATTGGCTCTGCAAACCCTATGTGGCTAGAAGCTAACCCCAAATAACAGATCTTTGAGTGTTAGGGTTAAGTAGGATTGAAGGCCACATTTGAAATTTGTTCTATTAAATCTGTGGTTACTGCGGTTTGAATTTGTTAGCATTTGAAAGCTGCTTTTGGTTCTACCAATAAAAACAACTTCAAATGTCAACAATGTTCTGTATGCTATACATATTTTATATGGCCATCTGCAGGAATCCATTCGCGGTGTTCTGTGCACTCAGAGCTGAGTCACAGGATTATAAAATGCGGCTTCTTGGGGGAAGCGTCTCACAGGTGTTCTACTCTGAGAAAATGCACACAGAGCACCTTCCCGTGTTTCCATCTCATGAAGAGCGAGCTGGAATCGCATGTACATCTGGTGGCTTCCCAAGTGCATGAAGTCGTATGTGCCTCAGCTAGAAATAGAGCCACTGACCATCACACATCTGGCTGCTGACCATCACACATCTGGCTGCTGACCATCACACATCTGGCTACTTTTTGACTTCAGCACACCTGCCCCACCTTCCAAGGCAAGCCCTGGGAATGTTTTTCTGTTCCTGTGCACTGGGGCTAAGGCTCTAGCGCTGCACTTGGGTTCAACTACTGTCCCATCACTAGCTAAGCTGAGGGGATTACCCATGTTATATAACCTGTCAGCTCTTCAGTTTCCTATTTGAAAAGTAGTGTGGGGACAGGCTAGCAAGTTGTCTCGGCTGGGAAAGGTGCTTGCTGCTAAGCCCAATGGCCCAAGTTTGAACCTCAGGACCAACACCTTAGGAGAAAACCAACAATCCTAAGTGGTTCTCTAAGCTCCACAATAGAGTCATGGCACATGCACACACAATAGACAAACAGGTAAGTGAATGGATGTACCAACAATCTACAAAAAAAGTTTGAGAAGTATAATTTTTTTCGAAATAGAAAAATCCAGTACACAGTACATGTTCTTTGCTGGTCCCTTCCCTCACTTAGCCCCTCCTTTCCAAACAAGCAGATCCCAAAGGACTGCTCTGCCCTCTGGGACAAATTTAGTGCCTCCAGTTATTTGGGATGTGATAATTAGTCTCGATTAGAATCACCTGGAAGACACCTCTGAGTAGGTCTGTATGTTTCCAGACAGGTTCAACTAAAGAGCCAAGCGAGACTCAGCCTGAATGTGGATAAGATTATGCAAGGAGTGGGGCACTGGCCGAGTCCAAAGGAAGGGAGCTGAGCGCCAGCATTCAGTCCTCCACTTTCTGCCTCAGATGCAATGTGACCAGCTGCCTCACGCTCCTCCTGGCCCGGCTAGAGCTGCTCTTCCCACTACACTGCGTCGTGATGACTGAGTCCCATCACCCTTCCTCCTTGAAGCCGCCTTTGTCAGGTATTTGGGAGAGCAAAGGGAAAGTAACGAAGCAGTAGCTGACCCTGTTGGTCCACTCAGCCGGCATCCTCGTGGGAGTTCCATGTCATCCTCAGCTCAGGTTTCCAGTTGTGGGTGCAGATACCCAAATTCTCAGTAGAGATAAACTGGTCACTAATGAGTTTCCACTTCCCTAGACTTACCCTTCTTATTATCTTGTTAGCCTTGGGGCCCTTTGGCTCTCACCCAATCTCCGATTCCCCAATTTTTCTACATCAGTCACTGTGAGAAAAGAACATCCAACAACAACATGGAAACCTACCATCTTTGCAAATCCCATGATGGCAATGGGCCACGGGGTAGGGAGGGGACAGATGCCCTCTGCCTGCTGTCTCTGAGAGGGAGTGGGGGCACCTCCTTGGACAACCAGCCCACATCCACATCCTTCCTGGCCAGGCCTGGCCCCTCAACACTCATGTCTTCATTCAGGGTATTTTTCTCACTGGTACCCTCACTCTCTCCTGCCCACATCTTCCCTGGAGCCAGGCCTTTCTTCTGAGCCTACTCCTCTGTGTCTAACCTCCTAGACCCCATCGCCCTACCCCAAATCAAGCCCAGGACCTTTTCCCAAGATTGCTTCTTGTCCCACATCTTGCAAGAGCCTCTCCTTTCCCATGGCCAGTCACAAGTGCTTATCAATTCTATCACCCAAACAGATGGTTGGTCTTTTTCCCCCCACGACATTCACCATCACTGCCCTATTCTCACCTCAGTACCACCCCAGGGCCTTTTGTCTCCTAGTCCTTGTCCTAAGACATCTGTCATACTGGGACCAAAACAACTTTTCTCAAATATAAATCTGAAGTTAAATATAAGGCTACCCGTGACCCTTCAGGACCAAGCTCATCTGGTGTTACAAGGTCCTTGAGACTAGCTCTGGTTTCATCTCCGGCTTTCTTTCACACGACTCTTTCTTGGGAATACCCTTCCTTATTCTCAAGTCTCAGTGTGCATTGTGGCCACCTAGAGACTTTCCAGGTTTCCAGCTGCTACTGGTCAGCTGTGTGCTGGTCTTTAGGTGATACACCTCTGCACGTCACACTCAGCGTCTTTCAGTTTCTGCGCACTAGCATCGTGCCATGGCTCCCCATACATGCTGACACCTTTGGCTGACTTCTACACATTCTGCAAGCAGCTCTCAGCTCTGGCATGCTACCTCCAAGAGGAGCTCCTCCTAATGGGTCTATCCCGGTCACCAGCCGGTTTAGAAACCTACTCACAAAATGTACACACCAAGTTCCCAGGGGACAGCAAAAGGGTCCCAGGTCCCCTTCTATACCTTGAAGGTCCTAGTGAAAAACTGGCGTGGGCTTGTTAAGTAGGTATGAGAGGGCAGAGACCATTAGATCTCTGGGAACCTGGGAATTTCTAATGAACGGATGTCGAGATGTAGCCAGGGTATACAAATCTTACTGCCACATTCTACAACATTAAGTGTGTGCTCTGTCACCTCCTTGGTCAAAACTTCCAGGAGCTGAGCCTTCTGCTCTAGATGAGACTTGGAGGCTAGAAATGAAACAGCCCAATAAAATCATGAATAAAAGGAAAGAATGGGAAACTTCCTCGGAAAACCGAGGCACTACTGGAAGAAATCTGTGCTGTGTGACTGATTCTGGTAATGCCTTTTGCGTCTTTCTGCCCAGGCCTGAGATAGTACTGGCCCTGAGAACCTTCTTTCTGTCATGGAAGGGAGAGGGTCAGTCTCATGGAAGTTTCTAGATGGCTCAGTTTGAAGTCAGATGAGTACTCCTTTCTGATTCTTGCAGAGTGAAGAGGGTCAGTTAGGGAGCTGGTGCTAACAACAACAGCCTTGGGTACAGGCAGGTCCCTGGATCTCTATCTCTCTGGGGTCATTTCCCTTTTTAGGTAGTTAACTATAAATAGGCATCAAATTCTTTCAAATTCCCAAAACCAGCATTCACTGTCTGCTTAAGGCTCCTTAAGTGACACAGACTGGGTAAGGCAAGAAGCAGAGCCACCCCTGAGGCTGGCGAGGGAGTCTGGGGCTAGCAGGCCAGCTCCCGATAACCCCCACTAAGAAAGGCTCAACGCACTGACTGTCCTCTCACCCACTGACTCCTTCTAGTACTTTATCACAGACATGTGGAGACATACTGGTTGTCTTCCCAGAACTAACATCTCTGGGCAAATTGCCCACTTGCCTCCCTTCATAGCTTCCAGAGGAACACAACTCCTCTTATTGCTGCAAGCTCTTATTCCCAAACCCCATGGAATGTCATGATAGTTGTGAAAGAGGAGTCTAGCATTGTCGGGCCAGCAGGGCCAGTGCGGCTTGTCAGGCTCTCATAAACTGATTCTGGAGATGGCCGAGATCACCAGTTACTCAGCTCATGGAAGGTAGCGAGAAAGCTGAAGGATCTAGAAGTGAAGCCCAGTGAACGACCCATGCATGTGCACAGGTACCTGTTGGGTACTATCACAGTCAAATATCCACCCTGTAAAGGGGCGTAAGGAGGGTTGGTGCCTGCCTTCAGAAGCATCTGTAAAAAATCCCAACTGTTCTCCACGGGCCCCACACTTCCAGTGTTAGACAAGTCTTGATGCTGAATCCCAGCTTCTTCTAGATTACCTTTCAGCCCTGTGGGTTCTATCAGAATTTAATATTTTCCCCCCAAAAAGAGAATGTTTTTTGACCTTGAGAAGACCAAGAGGACTAGACAAAATGTTTGAGATGCATAGATATTTTCAAACCGATTTGACTTTTGGCTCCATAGAGACATATAAGATGGACCAAAACAAAGAGAAACATTGTCATCAGAAACAGTCCCCTGTGGTCACCAGGAGCCCATGTGCACCACCCTCCAGAGGTGAGTGTCCAGGCCAGGCACAGACTCCAAAGGGAAAGTGCCCCTGAGTTGTCCCTAAGTCACAGAATAGTGAAGGCAGGGGCCCTTAAAGCAGGAGGAGCTCATGCCTTGGTTAGGAAGATTAAATACTGTGGACCCAACTCAAATATCTATTATGCTAAGCTGTAAAACCAACAGGCACTCATTATCTCTTTCTTATTAGGACCCAAGTCTGTCACCAGGCTGACATTGCTTCTTCTGCGCTTCCTCTCTTTTTAACTTATATTTTCTAAAACCATCTTTTAAGGCCCATGAATCCATCCTTCAAGTAAAATGCTTGCCTTCCTCTACACAAAACCCCCAAGAATTCCACTGGCTAGTGAGATCCCCTTCAGTAGAAGCACCCCAAAGTTGGGCTTTAGGCTTCAGGCCACCTTCCCTGCAGGGTGCATCCATCACTGTGTTATCCTAGATGGGCAGATTCTCTTGAACTGTGTCCCTCACAACTCAGCGTCAGTGTCCTGATGTCACAGCTAGACAAGGTTTGAGACCAGCCTTGGGAGGTGTTCATTGGATACCGAGGAAGCCATGTTCTAAAGGGTGGAAGGGCTTTAAGAAAAGCTACGTGTTTAACTAGGGGAAGAACCAAGACCTCTGTTTCTTGCTACCCCACAGTTTTCCTGCTATGCCCCATGTCTGGAAGTGATTAGCAAGCCAACTTTCTGGACACGCGGAGCTTCATTGAGGTGCTCCTGTCTCTCAGTGGCTAATCAGCTCAGGCAGAGACCGGGTGCTTCTCCCTGGGCCTGAGCACATCTCCCATTTTATCTCCAAAGCAAGAAGAGGAGTCAATTCTGTGTTGAGGGAGGAGGGAAAGTAACCCAGGGATGCTGATATTATATTTTCACTAAGAAAAGACACTATTGGGCCAAACGACAAAAATAAATAAATAAATAAATAAATAAATAAATAAATGAGGGTAGACTGTGGACAGGCTAGATAGCAATATTGCTTAAGTGTCAACTTCCCTGATTCCAACTACACATTGTGGTTTTATTCTTAGACAGTGAATAAGAAAGGAAAGTATGGTAACTCTGATTTAAAATGGTATCTATCTCAATGAAAATTATAAACATATAGAGAGAATGACAAAACGGTGGGATAAAATGACAACTGGTGACTCTCGTGTAGAAGGAACACAAGAGTTCTTTGCACCGGTGGTTCTTGGACTTTCTCTGTAACTTTGAAATGATATCAAAATGGCTGTTTCGGAAATCCCATCGTGAGGCATGCAGCACACACACTGACAGGCCTCTGGATCCAGGAACATGGATCAGTGCCCTTCCTGACTCCTCTGCCACCACCCCACCTCCTTCCGCTGCCACTGCGGGTCACAGGGAAGAACTGTCAGCCTTCGTGTTTGTGCGGTCAATGTGAAGTGAGGCCAAGTCTACAGCAAGGTGAAAGGGGACATGGCAGGAAGACGAACCACTGGGGTTCCGTTCCTTACCAGCTGGGAGACCCTGAGGCACGTCAGTTTCATCTCTGAGGCTCAGTTTTGCTTCTCTAGGAAATGGGAGCAGAAAGCATTTCTAAGACAGCAGAGGCTCGGCTACTGGTGCGCAGAAGGAGCTCCTGACATGACGCCCGAGCGCGGCACCAGCGCACCAGTTTGGTTTGACTCGGCTGTCCTCCCAGCTTTCCCTGCAGCATCCGCTGTTCCTCCCCCGAGCTCCCGCCTGCCTCTCCTCCCCTGCCAATGTTATCATTCTTCTTCAGACCACATAAACTACATTCCTCTGCCGCCTTCAAAACCCGATTCTGAGTTTTACTCACCTCAAACCCTCCCAAACTTCCTCCCGTGTTTGTGGCTTGTGACTTGGGTGACTTTAGTCATGGGGGTCTGAGGGTAGACTGCCTGGATTCTCTCTCATGCCACAACAAGGCTTGGGGGCTCCCAGGCAAGTGTGGTCAACACTGTCCAGTCCTACACCAACAGCTGGCTCATAGGAATAAACCATCCCTGGGGACAGGAGGGTGCACAGAAAGGGGCCTGGCTATACTCTGTTTGACAGGAAAGCCACCCCCCCCCCTTTCCTCAGGAAAGATGGATTTCCTCCTTAGATTAGATACTTCACAGCCTTGTGACAAAAGCACATGTATAATCCAGAGAAGGGCCGCTCATAGAATCCAACACGTCTGGGAAAGAGGATAAAACCCTAGCAAACATGGCGTGTGATGAGGGCATGGCACACTACACGCCTGATTCCATTTCAGCAGGGAGGATAATCCTTTCCTGCTGAGGAGTTGCTGTGTTAACACACATGCAAAGTGCACAGAACAAAAGCAAGTGAGTGTGTGAATGAAATAGAAGACAGAAGAGGATTTTCACATTGACACTGTATGTCCTAAGAGGCTCACGAGAATGCACGCACATATAACTTAAGCAATTTCTAAAGAAATTATACCTCAAAGAATAAAAAAAATTGGGGACACAGACCTTAAAGACACCACCTTTACTTGCTGTCCCTGGGAGCAGTCACCTTGTCAGAAGGCGCCAAGGACCAATCTTGGTGGTGTCCCTCAGGCCTCTGGGGTGCAGGTTTCTAAGGGGCAGGAATGCATATGGGGGGCAGCAGCCAAAGCCATAGCCTAATGCACAGACAATAGGCTTAGGGTGGTGGTGACTGAGTAGAAAGCCAGCACAGGGAGGGGAAAGTGGCCATCAGGGTGCAGGGGGTGAGATCACCATCACAGGACCACAGAGGGGTGAAAGTCCCTTTGCACATGGGTGTATGGAGTTAATCCTGTGATGACTGCATTTTTCATGGGGTCCAAACACGTCCTGCCAGTCCCTGCTACCCGCCCCCTGCCCCACTACCTTAAGGCTGCCTCCACAGGCTGACTCGCTCTTAAGACACTAGTGTGAGCACACCTGGGTAACTCTGCATCCTTCCCAGAGGCAGCAGGCAAACCCTCTCCTGCTCTGAACCAACCATGGATAACAGAGACAGCTTCCCACGGAAAGGCAGATTTTTAGTATGGCCCCACACTGGGACGATCTCGGAACATGAACAAACATGGAATCCCAGCCGCCACCCTAGAGTTTCTGTTGACTTGGTCTGGGGGCAGCCTGGGCACGGTGGTTTCCAAGCTCTACAGGTGACTCTAATACGCAGCCAGAGCTGCCACCCAGGCCCCCAGAGTGTGATGATGACAAGTTGGTTGAGGTTTTCCACGGCCTCCTGCTCTGCAGGGCAAGGTGCCCAGCGCGGAGCCTGCTCATTGTCTCCCAACCTCCTCACGCTTGTTTTCCTCCACAGTCTGCTCTGACCCTGCCTTACCCTCCTCAGGATTGCACAGAAGGGGGTTCCAGACCTGAAGATGGGGCAGCTGGCCCTCTGTCCCTGTCAGGTGAGCCCCCTTGTCACACCTGTGTCACAGTCCCTGCTACTCTTCTAAGAGCAACACTTGGTTTGCTCATGTTTGCCCACAGTTAGCACAGTCAGGCCCAGGCGGCAGTTCTGGAGAATAACACCGCTAGCTCATTCCTCCTAGGTACGCATGACCATCCTTGAGCTTTCGACACCTTATTAAAATCTACTCAGAACAGTCCTGGCTCCTCCGCTGTCTGAGTGGATCTCACTTTGTGTAAATATCTTAGAGAAATTATACCTTCACCATGAAGGCTGAGGACCTCTGACCCTTCGGTCCGATTAGCCGTGTTCCAAGAGCTCAGCAGCAGCAAAGGCAAACACACAGCTTTACAAAGAAAAGAATAACGCAGCCATAAAACACGGCCTTATCATGGGAAGAAAAGTGATCTTTGGAACAAGGACACCAGATCGCTTCCCTCTACTAGTAGAAGTGAGAGCTTATCTTCTGGTTTTGTTTTCTCTTTTGCTTTTTTAAATTTTTTCTTTTTTGAGAGTCTCACTCTGTATCCTAGGTTGGAATAGAACTCACTAGGTAGCCCGGGCTAGCCTCAACTTAGCTTCTCAAATATTGGGATTACAAGGGTGCACCATGCCTGGCTTTCTGTTTGTTTTAAAACTTAGTGTGTTCTGGCAATGGCCAAGGAACTCTGTGCCCTATAAAACTGGAACTGTAATAAGGTAGTTCTGCTAATAAAAGCTACACTGATCATCACAGCAGAAGACGAGGCTGCATTATGGTTTTGAAGACTTTAGGAACTTCTGTGTCTATCATTAGATAATTTTATTTGATAGGTATTGAATTTTGATTATGTAGGTTACGTTTTACAACTGCATAAAGATGAATAAATTAATATTATGCATTTCAAATATGTCTTGAAACAGTTCTTTTTTTTTTTTTTTTTTTTACATTGCAGCTTTATAGGCATAAAAGCAGCATGAACCCTGAAGACCCTGTCTAACAGAGATGCTGGGCCCAGTGGGTGGGAATGAATGGGATTCAGATCCACAAGGAGAGAGGTAGTCTTGTAGAGTTTGGGTTATACCTGTCCTCTTCCTTCCTGACTATCTCTAATATTCTGAAATCTGACTCAGAAAGGCTCTCGTGAAAGCCTTCCATAGACACAGCATGTACCCTGAGGGCCAGGCTGGCCCTCAGGGGACACACAAGGACATTACTATGGAGCCAGGAAGATCAGTCAAGGTGGAAGCTGGATGTTCTGGAAAGTTAGTGAGGTGGCTTTAGTGGGAGTTTTCTGGAAAGTTGCACATGAAGGCAAAGTCATGAGAAAGGAAAGGAGATGGGGCTCCCCAGGACTCAGTGAGGAGCTCTCTATGGAATAGCTGTTAGGGAGGGGGGCCAAGCATGAAGTGGCAGTCAGGGCACACATGGGGCTGCACCTGTACACATAGTAGGTTTGTTCAGAGCAGGAACACATGAGAGGCTCACCTGTGGGAGTCGGTAGGTGCTAGGGACCATTGGACATTTCTGATGATGTCATAAGCACAGAGTAACCGTATAGGAAGGCTCCCTTGACAGGACAGGATCAACTTAAAGATGAGGAACAGTTCCCATGGGGGTCTAAGTGACAACCAAAAAGAGGTCTGGAGGTTGTGGTCAGGAAGACAAAGAACCCATGTAACAGCCCTAGGCTGCAGATGGGGCAGAGAGAGACTGGCAGGGGTTGAGAAAAGGTGATTGGCTCAGTAACCAGGAGGACATAGGGTACCCTGGGGGATGGGCAGAAGCATGTCCTCAAGGAGTTCAGGGCAGAGCTGGTGACCAGGAAGCAGGAGCTGTGCCAGCATGCCTGCCTTTGTATGGAGAAGCTGAGAGGCACTTACTCTCTGTTCCTAGCACAAGGGGAAGAGAGCTCTTGGGTCTCCGGGATTTCATCTCCGGGACCTTGGTGTTCTCACCGGGCCGAGCATCTGGAACAAACAAAGGGAAGAGAAACATCAGTCAGCAGCTGTCTAAGGAGCTGAGTAGAAGAGGCACCCCAGACAGCACCGTATCTTGACCCTAGTCGGCCCACCCACCCTACATTCCACTCGGAGGCCCTCTGTGCCCGCCGCCGAGTGGCGCCTGCAGCGGGCCCTTCCTCCAGGGGAGCACCAAAGAAGGAGCGCCTGCTGGATGGTCCTGATAAATCAGGTGGCTGGGACAGTCACCCAGCAGGATGGATGGCCAGGCTAGGGAGCTGGTTATTGCTCCCTGCTGTAGCAGTAGAGGCTGCCAGGACTAAGGCCACTTGGCAGGGCCTGGGCCCTCAATACCCTTTGCTCTTGTTGTCCCCATGGGGCCTTGATTCGCTTATCTAAATGGTCTACAACTCAAAGGCTTTCTGCAGATGGAGGGGCCTCACACAGAAGAAAAAGACCAGGCCCCTTTGGGTTCCTTTGGGTTCACAGACTAAAAGGTGTGTGTGGCCTTTGGTTTCTGAGACTTGCTTTTGCACTGGGCCAGGCCTGGCCAGATGAAGGCTTCAGGACAGGCCACTCGCATAGTCTCGGAGACTAAGGCTGGGACTCATTTAAGTGTTTTTGCAGTGCATCTACAAGGCAGGTCTTCGGATCCCTGCAGTGACCATTGGCTGAGGCTGGGCAGCAAGTTCCCTCTCCCACAATGCCAGGAGCAGGTATACTCTCTCTGAGGATAGATGTGAGCAGCACCGTGGGCACAGGAAGGGCTCCCTCTGGATTCTCATGAGACTGGATTTTTCAAACTTTGTGGTAAAACCACCCAGGACGTATATAAGAAGCCGCTGGCTGACTGGCCACTACCAGGCTCGTGTTTTCACTACTCTTCGGGCAAGGGATGGGAGGCACCTCCCCCCATCCCCCAAGTTTCTTCCTGTCCTTATCCTTTATTTCCTGCTCCCAAAGAGGAAGCTCAGAGGGAGGAGGGGATTTTCCAGCAAGGGTTTGGCCACATTCCTGTGGCTTGGCTGGAGAAGAAGGGCTAACAGGCTGTCCCTGCCTACAGGTTGGGCACCTCAGCTGGTCTTGTCTAAACTGGGTTCCCTGTAAGGGGTGGTACTAGGAACACAGACTACAGAGGTGGGGGGGGGGAACGACGACACACACTTCCTAGTTTCTGGTTGCATTTCACCTAGATGACATCTGGTCCCTTGCATGCTCTAGAATGTGCATCTGTCCACACATCCCCTTTAACTAAGTCTTGTTTATGTAGGTTTCCTCCACCGCCTGCCTGGCTTCTCTGTGAGCTGGGCCATCCAGTGACAGAGGCTGCATGTGGGCACAGTTAGGTGGCAGCCGAGGGACAACAAGGTCAACCCTCCCTGTTGAATACAACCAAAGCCATATACACACAACTGTGGAAAGGATTCCACTGGAGCCTTACTTA